CTGGATTCGAATTATGGATGCTAGGCTCTCCCCACTCGTGTACTGGCCAGAGAGGCACCAGCTGTGGCACACTATGCCTATGTGTTTCAGATATTCATTTGGAAACAAGGTGACAGTAATCATTGACTATTTTGAGGTGTTCATCGAAAAGCCTTCTAATCTTCTTGCTAGAGCTCAAACATTTTCTTCATATAAAAATCACAATACCATCAAAATACTACTTGGTATCACACTTCAAGGGACAATTTGTTATGTGTCTAAGGCATGGGGAGGTCGCACATCAGACAAATATTCCACTGAGAACTGTGGTTTCTTGGAGAAGTTACTGCCTGGAGATTTAGTTATGGCCGACAGCGGTTTCACCATTTCTGAAAGTGTCAGTCTAAAGCATGCTAAGCTGGTGATCCCTGTCTTCATCAAAGGGTTGAAACAGTTGGACCCCATTGATGTTGAGGAGACCAGAGGCATCGCCAACGTACGTATCCATGTGGAGAGGGTAATAGGGCTAATCCGCTGCAAATACACCATCCTAGAAGGCATACTTCCAACAGATTTTCTTTCTAGTAATCACCGTGGAACAGTAGACTTTCAAGTTCCTTTAATTGATCGAATTCTGAGGGTGTGTTCAGCACTTGTTAACTTATGCCCTCCTATAGTTCCATTTGACTAGGTATTTTACTGTCTAAGGATGGTTCAGAAATAGTGGAGCCGAATAGGATGTCTGTTGAACAACATGCATGTGTGATCCTACTTTCCAGGAACCCAAGCCTAACTTTGTAATGAACTTCTTTCAGTTGAAATATGTTTTTTTTTTTGTTTTCCCTCTTTCGCTTGAAAATATTCATCAGCTCTGTTATCAAAATGCCCCCCTCCCATGCACAAACACATGGTAAAAAATTTAGGCATAATATAACTGGTTAAGTGTACCATTTAATAGCACAATGCAGTATAATGATTTGACAAAGTATCTTGGCTGAAAGTAATGTAGTTTTTTTCTTCACTAACCATCTTGGACACCTGTCTAAGCTTTAATTTAATTTGCTGGAGGGAATTAGAGGGGGTCTTAAAACAGAAATCAGCCCCTTAGAGATGGCAAAAAGTAGGTGAGGCTAAGTGATTTTGCACCCTGAGAAATGTGAAATAAAAATTTAAGTTTTCCCTAAAAAAGGAAATATCTTGGATCTAGTAACTTTTGGCAGCACTGTGAGTGAAACTATGAAACTCTGTCAGTATCAATAAATCCCCTAGCTGAACCCCCCCTCAGGAAAACGAAAGAATTTGAACACCCTAAAGGCATAGCACTTGAGGGTAATTTATTGCCCAATTTATGGATGGGACAAGCACCCCTGTCATGTTTAAGGAGACCCCCACAA